TTTAAATGTCCTATACTTCCTTGCTGTGAGGATTTCATTTTCTTTGCTTGGAATTCTCCAGCCCCACCAATGGGAAAGCAAACTCTTCCTCTTCTGGACACACTACTTGTGTGTGCTCACTACCCTGTGTCACTACTGCTTCCAGTATTATCCCAAGCAGTTTGTATTATAAAGAGTTTTACTTGTAAAAGAAATATGACCATCTCAGAGAACATATAGAAAACAGAAAAATGTAGGTATATATGAATATATTAAAAAATATTTCATATCGCCATCCTCACAAAGCCAGTTACTATTCTGTTGTGTTTCCATCTAAGATTTTTTTATATGTACATATTTCTACATGAGTCTAATTGGACTGAACCAATGATAGAGCGACTTGCCCTTTGAAAATAAAACCAATATTATAAGATGGGTATTTTTTTGTAGTTATGGAATCATCCTAATCATTTTTTTGTGGTCCCAGGGCATGCATACTATATAGGTGTACCACCACAGACCTACACCTCCAGCCCCAACCGCCATTTCTCCTTTTTTTTTTTTTTTTGTCTTCTGAGGCAGGGTCTTGCTGTGCTGTTCAGGCTGGCCTTGACCTCACTTTGTAGCTCAGGCTGTTCTTGAACTCATAACAGTCCTCCTGCCTCAGCCTCCCGAATGCTGGGATTACAGGTGTGCACCACCATGCCTGGCTCCAACCGCCATTTCTACTAGTCATATAATATCCTATCAAGTAGATAAGTTATAGTATATTACCTAACCATTCCACTATTGTTGAATGTTTAGGTCTCCCTTTTTTGGCTACTATATTTTTTATTTATTTTATTTTATTTTATTTTATTTTTTGGTTTTTCTCCGGTACCGGGAACCGAACTCACGACCTTGCGCTTGCCAGGCAGGCGCTTTTGCAGCTGAGCTAAATCCCCAGCCCCTTTGGCTACTATAAATAAGAGAGAAACTACTATCTTCATGTACACATTTACTAGTTCATTTCCTTACAACAGATAACCAAGAATCATCTCAAATTTTGTAGGAAGGGAAAAATGTACAAACAGTGTTTTGATTTCTCTAATTGCTTGTGATGTTAAATATTTTTCCTGCTTGTTCACTATTTGGTTCCTTTTTTGAATTGTCTATTCACATCTTTTGTCCATTTATTGAAATATTAGCATTAAACTAGTTAGAATAAACATTTTAACCCTTTATTGTATGTGTTATATCATTTTTGCCTTTAGTTCACTAAAATTTTAGTGACAGAAGGAATATAATCTCATTACAGTAATTCTGAAAACTAGAGAAACATTATAAACAATCATGAATAATTCTTCCACCATAAGACAGTCACTATTATCATTTCCACTGGTTTTTTTCATATGTGTGTGCTCTAGAAACTGGTAATTGCAATGTATATACAATTGTTAAGATCTGTTTTTTTTTTTTAAGTTTACACACTCATTGTTTTTTTTTTTGACATATTCTATATCGGTGGTGAACCTATGGCACGTGTGTCACAATGGGCTGCTTGCATCATTAAAAGTTCTAACAGGTTTACTATCACTGCCCTATATTTTTCATAATCATCATTAAAAATAATAGCATAAGATATGGGAGTAGATAGGATGTATGCATGAGGCTCTGGGTTTAAGCCTCAGTACCAAAACACACACACATACACACACAAGAAAACTAATAACATAATAATCCACAGAGTAGATTCACCATTCCCTTATTGCTAGACATTCATATTATTTCATTTTCAAAATTCTGTAAGTAACACTGAGTAAAAATAGTTTTTACCATATTTTGAGTTACATTCTTAGGAAACCTTCCCAGAAATAGAATTATTAGATCAAAGAACATTACATGTTAGGTACCAAAATGTTTGAAGATGTTAAGCCAAACCACACTTACTAGCAAACTGGGTACCACTTTTTTTTCAGTTTTGTTAAATTCGGGCTTAAAAAGCAGCTTACCTATTTAGCATGCACAAGGCCCTGGGTTTGATCCCAACACCAGAAAAAAAGAAGCTAGTTCTTTAATTTATATTTCTTTGATTAGTAGTGATGACCATTTGTTTTCCAGTTATACTAAACTCTTGCAAATTGTCTAGTCATGTTCTTTGTATTTCTTCTTAAACAGTATACTATTCTACATGAGTGCGCTAAGTAATACAAACCCATCACACTTTGTCATGTTTATGTCACATAGGATTTTTCAGTCTATGTTTAGATTTCATTTTATTTTATTTATTTTAAAGAGAAAACAAAATTGCAAAGCAAGAGAACAGGAGAGTAACAATAGTTAATATAGTCTGTATTGCTATCTTCAAAGTAGTCAAAAAACTTTTAAAAGTTACACTAATTTAAAAATTTTATACAGTAAGATTTGATCTTTTCCCTTGAGAATATTTTCTATTACTTCCTAAGCTTAGAAAATTATTCCTTGTTAAAAAGTAGATAGTCATTTATTCTACTTTTTAAAATTTGATTTTTAATATTTAACTCTTCAGTCTAACTGCTGCTTATTTTATTACTGGAGACGAATAAATGCTATAAGCTGTGACAGTATTATTTAATGAACCTCCTTTCTACTCTTTCACTTGAAATGCATCTTTATATTAGATTAAGAGCTTATATAGTTATTACCTATTGAAACTTATAGCACTGTCACCAGTGTCTTCATTATTCTAGTACTGTATGTTTAATATCTAATAGCATTAGTCCTTTATTACTTTTTGGCATAATTGTCTTTGAAATATCATTCTTATTTAGCTTTCAAATGTACTTATTTGTTGCCTTATCCATAAGATATTAATTTCTTGAGGATAAGTTTGATTTTCTCCTTAGAATATACTACAAAGAATGTGTTACTGGGTCAACAGTTGTGAACATTTTCCCCACTCTTATCACTTACTTTCAATGTTTTCAGAAAGCCTTGGGACAGTTCCACTGTAACTTGGGATATTTTGAAAAAAAAAGGTTGTGTTTTTCAAACTTGGTAGAGGAGAAAATAGACCTTGCTTCAGTTTCTATACTCTGCTTATTAGTGATGATAAGCATATGCCTGACATATAGTGTTTTATCAATGCTTGCTCAATGAATAAATGGCATGTGTAAATCTGTACATTTATTTGGGGATGGGAAGGTTTAAACAAATACTGTGAATATAATTGGTAATTGCTCTCTAGGTGTAAGCTTATGAGCCTTTAGTTATTCTACAGAGAGGTTTTAGAGATGTTCAAAGCACCCTAGAATTGAGACCTGAATTGGGACAATCTCTAGAAACTGTATAATTGATATTTGCCATAGGCATGTCTGTTTCTAGGCAGGATCAGCTGAAAGGATCAGCTGAAGACTGTTTAAAACAGTACGATAATGATATGTGGATACACTCATGCCTGCATAGCCCACACAGCTATGATTGGCTCAAACAGTGTGCATCCTTCGGCACCACAGCATCAGTAAGAAGAGACCGGTATGTGAATACTCCCTTACAAGCTGATTCAGGCCCTAGTAGGCCTTCTGCAGTGAACTTAAATACATGAGAAACTAGGTCTGACACACAGGAGCAAGTATTTGCTATGAAAACACATTCTATTTCTTCCCCACTTGCTGAGCCTGGGAAGACCCTTTCACTGTGAAGTTTGAAGGAGAGAGTGTCATTTTTTCTCATAGGAACCAGTCTTTATTTTGAATTTTTAAAAATAAAGCAAAAGCTAACAAAAAAGGCGGGCTGTTTGCTCTGTTTCTAAGATCATGTAAAACTTGTTGTTAAAACACTGGTTCTTTCCTCTACTGCATCAGTAGATGCCAGCAGTGAAAATTTTCAGGGACTTCCTTTGGCATAATATCTGTCAATCTGATGAAGAGAATACATTACTATTATTATTTATTATTATTATTTTGGTACTGGGACTCAAACTCAGGACCTCATGCTTGCCAGGTAGGTGCTAGCTGCTGTGCTATATCCCCAGCCCTAGAATACCATATTATTATCTTAACTTGCATATGCTAAAATCGTGCTATGCTTTAGTCTGAAAAACCAAGTACTGTTTTCTTTTGACTTAAGACTAAGAATATAAAGGTTACTGTTGACTGCACAACTGATTTGTAAATGGTGCACTGCAAGTTACTACCACAGCTGTTTCCTTCCATTCAGCAGATCAATAAATTCAGAGTTTTTAAAAAAATCTTCTTCCCCACTATGTATTAAGTGTTACTGACACAGCCAACAAAATGTCAAATGCTGAAGAAGGGCCAGCAGTTTATGTCAGAATATCCTCATTCTATAGTTTAACCTGAAATTCCAAAAGGACTTTTCCTCTAACCCCATGTAGCACCTAAAAGAGCTATTTTATAAGCCGTTTCTCCTTAGAGAGGCATCTAATTCTTCACTTCCACTTTCTTTGGAGATGGTGGCATAGCCACCTTCTGTATTAATTGGCCTTTTGTTCTAAACCTATTTTCATCAATTCTCCACCTATTTGATAATCTGTTTTCCACTTCGGTGAAGCTTTAAAATGCAATTCTCCCAAGGCATTCATGATGTTTCTCTCTACTGCTAAGTCTCTTTAGCTCATACATGTGTTCTATTGGCACCATAATTGATGTTGTCCTCTAATTATTCTACTTTTTAAAATGTTTCTAGAGCCTAAGTCCCTTGAAGACAGGGGAATTACCAGAAACTGAAAAGGAATTTAGAGACTGTCTAGTTACAGCTTTTGCCCTGCTTGTTTTCCTGATGAAGAGACAGGCCCAGGGAAATCAGGCTGTCTAAGTCAGTTAGCCAAGTTAGCGGGAAAACTTGGCCAGCTGTCCTGACTTTTGATAGTGTGCTTTTTACCATGTTAGGTCACCTTCTATTTTGCGTGCATGTTTCCAGAATGCTTTGTAAAATGCTAAACACCTCTCTTGATGAACATCAATACAATAAGCACAAGAGTGGACATAACTGAGAAACTGACTCAAGGAAAGGGTCAGAAAGCAGAAAGGTCATTGCCTTACTTCTTTGCATGATGCCAACCTCCAGACCAGTTAACTGCTACTTTGCACATCCCATCGATTAGGCACTGGGCAGCTGTGATTGTAGCCCCTCCTACAGCTGCTGCATAGTCAAATATCCCTTCAGTAGCTGGGCAGTCATAGCCTAAGAATAAAAGTTGTTAAAGAGAAAAGAGAAGAGACCATTAAAGATGAACTGGAGAAAGAAGAAAAGGTTGAAATGTAATCAAAACATATCCTATTAAAAGGCTACTGTGTTAACATCAGCTCTGAGACAGAAACATTTCCAATATTGAGGAGGGAAGATTTTGAAAGTTTTAGAGCTAGAAAGGATAAACATTCAAGATGAGCTAGTCACATCCTACAGATGATGAAACCAAGGCCTGAGAGGTCATGTGTCCCTGCTGCCTTTGGACAGGGACTGAGAGATAATGTGTCCCTCCCCCTTTTGGACAGGGTCTTGCTATGTAGCCCAGGCTGGTTGCAAACTTGCAGTGATCCTTCTGCCTCAGCCTCCTGAGTGCTGGGATTACAGGCATGCACCACCACACCTGGTGAGGTGATACATTTTGCCAGGGGTCATACAGCTTTCCACTCAGGTCTCCTGACCCCCAGTCTACTGTCCTTGTACTAAACTATGTTATATTTCTAAACTATCTCTTTGGCTTACAGTTTTAAAAAAAATGTACCTGTTTAAATTCTGGCTAAGTTTTCCACCCAGAATATAAATAGGTACTAAAGATCTAAGGTTACAGGACAGCTAAGTCAGTATATACAACCAGGCCAGATCTGAGTGCTGTCATTAAGGACTCAGCAACTGAAAAGTTTCTCTTCTATCTGATTCATTACCTAGTTTTGTTCAGTTCATAAGGCTGACTTGGTTAGTGACCTCCGTGTGGCTAAGCCAAGAGATTAAAACAGACAGCTGGGGCTGGGGATGCAGCCCGGTGGTACAGCATTTGCTTAGCATGTACAAGGCCCTGGATCTGATCCCCAGCCCCCCTTAGATTATTTAAAAAACATTAGAAACCATTATACAAGTTATAAACAAGTAGTATGATCTACAGATGGAGGCTGTAGATCTGCCATCACTGCCGGATAAGGATCTTACCTAGCCCATATTCTATGGAGTCTGGATGATCATCATCACCTTCCTGGCTCACCTTCTGAAGGTGCTGAAGATAAGCATCAGTATGGAAGGTGGCCATCTCCTCCATGGAAGCCACTTTGGGCTTCACTATCCTAATAATAACAGAAAGAACAAAGAGAGGTGAGTGAGTCAGAGCCAGAGTATGCTAGAGGCTGGACAAAGAAGCCAACAGTCTGAGCAGAAAATATAACTCCTAGCTTCTGGTTCCAGGGGCCTGAAGTAATAGATACATTCCGTTCCTCCACTGCACTGCAGTCTTCCCTTCCTCACATCTATGGCAACGACCCAATTCATAAGGGCCAAGAAAACAGATGTTTCTCATGAGTTTATAGGTAGGTAAAAATAAGTGACTAGTTATATTTAAGTTAAATAATCAGCAATCAAACAAACTTTCCTCTGTAAATGACAACTTGCATGATGCACCAGTAGGCAGAGCTGTTTTCATCTCAATCATTTGCTAATTGGGCTTTATAATCCTTTAGCCTAGATCTTTTTTTTTTTTTTTTTTGGTACTGAATATCACACCCAAGGCATGCATGCTAAGTATGAGATGTACAACTGAGCTACACCCGTACCTCCTTCTGTCTTTATCTTAGTAGCCATCTGGATTATTATGCATTTTGAATTTGGGTTCAGAGAACTGAGTTCCTGTCTGAACTCTGTACTTACTAGCTCTATAAAATCAGGTAAGTTGGCGATTCTATATCTCAGTTTCCTCATTTGTGAAACAGGGAAACTTCTGACACATATATGCAGATTAAGTGATAATATATTTAAAATTCTTTGTAGATAACCATCATCAAAATTAAAAGATAATAGGGAACTCAAAATATAAAAAACAGTTTCTATACTTGGCTTTTCAACATTTACCTCTGACAGGAAAGAGACAAAGGGCGAAATAGTTGGGATTGGGCTTCTCTCAGAACCTCTCAACCTGATCCTCACAGGAAGTGACTAACAGTGAATGAGAGAATAAGGAGGGCGAGCCTGACAGCAGGACTCATTGCCTCTAACCTCTAGCTACCTATTTCCCATTTCCTCCTACTGACCCTCCTGCTGCCACATTCTCTAGCCCTTGCCACCGAAAGGGTAATAGACAGACAAGCAGAATCAGCACCCCTAGGAGCTTGTTTGAAATACAGAACTTCAGTTTCACCCCATACCTAGTGAATCAGAATTTGTATTTTAACAGGATGATTTTTAAACGAGATGATACACCTAACAATGTGACTCACACACGCACTGAAGTTGAAGGAGCACTGATCTAGGCCACAGAGAAGCAGCTGCCGTTTTCTCATATTTGCTGGATGGGAGCATGGTCATTAATTTATCACAGATTAATATGAGTATACAGGCTGCTGCTATAATATAGGTGGGCAGGAGAAAGGCTGTAGTAAAGCCTCAGAAATGAACTATATAGCCAAGATCCAGGGATTCTTGCTTCTTTAAGAACATCATCTAGGTAACAAAATTTTCTCATCAAAATACAGTTTTATAATTTCTTTTACTATGTTTCCCAGCCCTAATTATCTTCCTCTTACAGCACCGTCCCATTTTGTGAAATGTTAAAGTTAAAAAAAATACTTACCAAAAGCCTCCTTGTTTAATATCAAGAAAATGAGACAGTTTTGCTTTGCTTTGATATCTTGTTTGCAATAAAATACTTTTTGAAATGTTAAAATAACTTTAACGAATGGCATATCATTGTTTGCCAAACATATGGACTAAATGATGGTTGAAAAATATTCCTAAAGAAGGTACATAAACAATATGGTTACTAATAAGGATTAAATCTGAAAGCCTATTATACTACCTTCTGGGAGATAAATGAAGCATACTTCACTGGCTGATGTTGTTAGTTATACATTCGGCCAGAAAATGTCATAGGTAATCTTACACACGGCAGGCTCGTAACAGTTGCACTTACAATAACACCAAATACAGAACTGGCAATAAACAGCAAGCTCAAAAAATTTTTTGAAAGAAAAATTTGGCCCTCTCTTGAGTTTCAGCCTGGCCTCAGCAGTCTGCTTAGCCCTTGACTTGTCCCCAGGTTTACCCATTAAAGGTTGGCAGTGGTGGCGGCATGTTTTAGTCTTACATTGAACACACACCCTTAGATCTGACTGGGGGGTGGGGCGAATACAAAACGAAAACAGAACACCTCCCAGATATACTCACCTCAAACTCTCTATTAAAGCACCTATCACACCCAGCAATAAAGTCCTAGGATCCTAACTGCTTCAAGCACTTTTTGCAAGTCTTTTCAATTCTTCAAGAACATTCCTGGGATTACAGGCAGGTTACAAACACGGAGAATACTCTCACAAAAAGTTTTCCTTTTAAAGCACCATTTTCTCTCTAATTTGCCCCACCGTGAAATTCATTAAGGCTATGACCACTTAGCTTCAGGGATGACAGGTGTTCAGAAAAAAACAACTTACCTCATTTGCTTATGCAGTGCATATGCTTCAATCAAAGAATGTACCATACTGGCCTAAAAATTCAGCATAAAAAAGGCAGAAAATAGTCTTACAACTTTAATTCAGTGCAATCCCATCCACTTGACCATCCTAAGCGAAGAAACTAACGGCTTTAATTGTCCTCCCTTCAGTTACTTAAGTTAGGATATACTTTAAAACAATACAGTTAGATATACTTTAGACAATACAAAGCATCCAGATCGCCGAGACCGAAGCTGCCCGGCCTTACGCAGGGGATGGAGTACTTTTCTTCACCAGCTTCTTTTCCACTTCAGCGATCCCCTTGTAGTGGGAACCGAATCCCCTCCGCGCCTTCCCCTCCCCCTCCTGTCCGTTGGAGCCGGGCAGAGCCGCGCAGCGCTCTCAGAAACGGTTAAAGAGGACACTTCCTCTTGGTACAGTTTTAGGTACCGGACACAAAATTTCTGCTGAAGACTCTCTGCAGCCCAGTCTCCTCTCCTCTTCCTAATGCCCTCTAGTCCACACCTCAGCCTCCTACCCCCAAAGCCCGTGATCTTTCATTCCCAACTCTCTTACCCGTTTGGGGACCTTGGCCAGGGAGTCGCACAAGCTGACATACTCAGGGCTGTAGATGTAAACTGGGGGCAGCGACTGCCCACCGTATGCCGGGTCCTCTGGCTCCTCCATCTTCCACTTCGATCCGCTCCGGAGCCACCGTACGGATCTGGCTTTTTTCGGACTCAGACCCGGCTCGAGTTCCTGCGTTTCTGATCGACCGCAGCTGTGCTCCCTGGTCAACATTCCCTCTTAATTCGGAGATCGCCGGAGATACTGTCCCCGCTCCCCATCCAATTGAGGGAATGGATGGATCTTCACAGGTCAGAAGCCCTTCATTCGGGGACCATCATTTTTTTAAAAAGCCCTAGGCAGATATACAAGCCCAAATAGCTGCCAATTAGGGTCTATTTTTTTTACGGCACAAATAAGTACGGTCAAAACTAACCATCCTTGTTGCCCTACGGGGCCATTTGAGATGAGGTCAGATCAGCTTGCGAGCATGCTGGGAGATGTAGTTTATAGCGGTTTTGAGTGGCGGAAGAGCCGGGTTTAGTCATAAAAATTGCAGCGAATTTGAGTTGTGGCACCTAAAGAATGCAACTGAGCCCTTTAGGAATTGTTTCACCCTGCAAATATAGCCATTTGAAATATTTAAAGATAGACACAATGTGGCCATCTAGAGCCCACTACTCAGCTACATTACCTGCTAAAGGGGTTTTCCTGGGGGAGGAGGGGCGACTGCGTAATGGTACAAACGGTTTGAAAAGTTTGCACGGTAAATTCTGCGAACCAACTGTAGTTCATTGCTTTTGATCATTGTCTATATAAGAGTTGATCTCAATAATTTACTCTGGGAAATTTAATAGCATTTTCCCAAGAGACTAGCTGGTACTGTGGAAACTGCTTGATAGATTCCAATAAAGCAATAATGTCAAACGTACTCCTTAAAGGTTCATGTAATAGGAAACACGCGAGATGTTTTCAGTGGTGTTTGGAAACCGCAGCTCTCCTTCCCTCCCTTCTTTTGCTTGTGCAGCTGAACAAAGGTTATAAGGAAATACTTTAGGTTTCCTGTGTGGGTTCAGTTGGACTACCCCGAGGCAGTTTTAGAATTACCAACAGCATTTCCAGGTTCCTGGATACCCGCATGATCTGACGCAAGCTGGCCAATGCTCATGTCCCCAATTCTCACACAAGCCTGAACTGACCTACTGACATTTCTGAGTAAAGCCAATATTTGTACTTTCTTTAAAACCTATCTTACTCTTTACTCTCTAAACATTTACTGAACATTGATATGTGTACACTGAATGTATTATCTCATTTCATCCTTGCACACAGTCTTATGAAGGAGGTTTAATATACCCATTTTACAGATGCAGTTTGGAAGGAGAACATAACCAGTCAAAGCCACACACTACAGTAGAAAAGCAAGAATTCAAAATCAGGGGCTGGGGATTTAGCTCAGTGTCACAGCACCTGCCTGGCAAATGCAATGTCGTGAGTTCAATTCCCGGTACCAGAAAAAAAAAATCAGATACACCTGACACTGAAGCTTTGAACATTCCTTTTACCATATAAACTTGATTCTGCCAGGATGACTTTGTGTTACAACCTAACTTTGTTGAACTCTCCATTCGGTGTCCCCTTAATACTTAGTTTACTGGAAATATTCTCTGTCTGTCTGTCTGTCTGTCTGTCTCTCTCTCTGTGGTCTTTTTATTCACTAACTGGAAGATAAGTTCATATGCTTCTTTTATATCTTCCCATTACAAGTAGTTCAAAACTCTGCAACCATTCAGTCATCCATCAAGCATTTGTCCAACATCAGCTAAGTATACAGCACATCTGTAGATTAAGAGATGAATTGCAGTCTGATCTTTGCTCTCTGGGAATTTGCCTTTTTGTAGACAAGGCAAATGCAGAGGCAGATAATGAAAGTAAGATATCTCGTTTACTTAATAAATAACCATTAAGTACTTCACAGGTGGTGTTCAATAAATGGTAAGGATTTTTATTCAGCAGCATCTAAGAAAGTATTAGAGGATAAACAAGACTTTGCTCTGTGAAGACGGGAGCCAGAGGAGGGTATGCTGACCGACATGAGCAACATAAGCAAAACACAAAGGAAAAAGTTTCTAGTTGAGTTTAGCTGAAGGGGGCAGATCACGAAGGGCTTTGAATTCCAGGGCAAAGAAAATAGACTTCATAACGTGGTACATGCATTACAAAGTTTTTTGTTTGTTTGGGGGTGGGGTGGGGATCAAACCTAGGCAAGTATTTCACACCTGAGTTATATCCCTAACCTCTTAGAAATCTTTTTTAAAAATTCTAGAGCAGCAGCGTGTAGGAAAGATTGGCCATTGAAAGACTAGAGGCAGTGAGTACCAGAATTGTCCAGATAAGGAGCGAGGAGAATTTAAACTGACTGGGAGCAGTGGGAAGACAGAGAAATAATGTCCAGTATAGGTTCAACAGGACTTCCTTACTAGTTGGATATTAGTAAAAGGGAGGAAGATGAAAAGACAGTCAATGGAAACTTAAAGTCTGGGTAAAGGGAAGGTTAGTAGTATCCATACAAGAAGGTAGAGGTTCGGGTAGATAGTGATAGAGCACATGCTCAGCATATGCAAAGCCCTAGATTCTATCCCCAGAACTCCCCCCCAACCCCCTCCTCAGAACAAGTCTATCAGGGGGAAGAACTTGTAGTGTAGGGCAGAACGGATACAGGAGTCTGATATAAAAAGTGTTGAGTTTCATAAACCAGTGGGTTAAGTAACTGCAGAGAGACATACATATTTTCCTACATGAAGAGCAGTTAGATGAAGTCATAAGAGTGGCTACGATAGTCAAGAAAACATGGCTTTCTCCACTTGGATATGTAATAATTATACATAACTTAAAAAATTTCAAAACAAACCTCCTGATTTCCCTACCCAAGTCTGTTCCATATCTTCCTCATCTTTCATAGCTCAACAAAGATACCAACATCTATCAAGTTGCCTAAACCAGAAATCTGGGAGGTATTTGTGTTCTTTCTTTTTGTGTACACATACAAATCCAATCTGTCAGGACTCTCCATCAATTCTACTTCCGGGTCATGTCTCATACATCCGTATTTCTGTCCCTCTGCATAGCCACTGTCCCAAGCTGGGTGCTATTATCGCTCAGCTGGGCTTTTGCAACATTAATCTGGTCTCTACTTTCACACTTGCGATCCTACAACCCATTCATTCTCTCTGCGGCCGCCACAGTGGCTAAAGAAGGAAATGGGATAATGTCACTAAAACCTGCCCCACACCATAGTGAGACTCTTTGAGGTGGAAGAAATAATTTTTGAAGAGTTCTATTTATGGAGGTTTAGAGGGAAAAATGATCCCAGACAGGGGTCAAGAGACAAATACGGGTTGTTGGGTGAGAACAAATGTAATACAGTTTCCCAGCAATCAGGGGAAGAGAGAATTTCAAGACGGAAGAGATAATGAAAAATGTCATGTATTGCAGAAGGATCAGAAACTCTTTTCCCTAGTCGAAGCTCATTGGTGCTGTATGGGGGAGGGGAAAATAGGAGGTAGGAGAGGAAGCCAGATTGTGAGGGGTTAAGAAATGAAGCCACCACAATTAAGTGTAGCTTCCTTTTTTACAAAATGTGATTTTGGAAGGAAGGAGTTAAGCTAACAGGATGAGGGGACACCAGAGCCTAGAAGTGTTTTTTAGGCCGAGAGAGAACTGTACATGTTGACGCACAGGAGGGAAGGGGGTTATGGGACTGTGGGTGCTGACTGAAAGGTGAAAGCATGACAGCCCAACAGGGAGGAAAATGGGACTTGGCCTGGGCCTTCAGGGATAGTCAGTGGAAACCAGGGTGGGACACAGACTGACCGACTGGCATCCTAAATTCTGAACTCCAATCAGATGACATGAAAATGGGTTGTTTTATGTGTTCATTTAGATCTAGCAACAGATAGGCAAACACTTCAATATATGAGGTACTTCTGAACTGGAACGAGTATCTTAGTGTAGCATACAATGTGGCAAGATGAATCTCTTGGAGAAAGGTAAATTGTTGTACCATACTCTGAAACTGGCAGCTTGCTCTGGCCACAAATTTAAATCTCCCATCGATTCCTGGTACCAGAAGAAAAACAAAAAGCCCCAAACAAAACAAAACAAAACAAAAAATCTCCCAGAAAGAATGGACCTTTGCTCATGATTAAGACTGAATACGAATCATGCTATAGGTCTGTAACCTCAGTTTTTTTACATGCCTAATTAATACCCATATGGTCCTTAAACTGGGAGGAAACCCAAGGCACTGGATTTGCGGTTGTGGAGGATTTGAGGTCAGAGGTAGTAGGTAGAATCCTGGCTCCAAAGCTTGCTCTGGTCACGATACTGAGCAAGTTACTAGTCTCATTTTCTGCCAACATTATTGCTAGAGGTAATGTTGGACCCAACAAGTGAGATTGGACTGTGCCACTTCTTTTGGTGCTCTCCCCTGCCTTCACTCACTGGCAGAAGCGAGCCGACAGGCAAAGTAAACACATTCAAAGGGCACTATTCCTTTAGCTACCTTCTTTACTCATTTCACAGATCTGTCCACTGATGCTTCAGTGGACTTAGCTCTTTTTTGCCCCTCACATCTTCTAGCGTCTTTTCCTTGGAAAGTGCAAGTTACAAATGAATGTGTACTTGAGAGTCAGACTGTGTAAGTTCAAATCCCAGCCCTACCACTTATTAGCAGATTGCCCTTGGGTGATTTGCTTCACCTCTCAGTGCTTCAGTTCTCTCATCTGTAAGATGTGGATGCCCATTTCTACCTTATATGGTGACTGCAAAGTAAGATAAAATGGCCCGTGCCAAATACTTATACAGCAATGGCTGGCTTTCAGTAAGCACTGGATTACTGGTCATTTTAAAGACCATTATGCCAAATATTTCTTAATAGTTTTAGAAAGGCTCCCGCTCCGCTGTTATCCGTATCTGGATGCTGCTACTGAAAGAGTGCTACTAAGGTTTGAGAATGGGTCCTCGGCTTTGAGACACAGCCTTACAAATACCAGGCTAGTACTTCAGCTTGTTGGCACACACCTGTGATCTCAGCTACTTGGCAGGCTGAGGCTGGAGTATCACAAATCCAAGTTAGTCCGGGACCCTGACTCAAAATAAAATAAGAATTTAAAAAGGGCTGAGAATGTAGTGCAGTGTTCCCTGGGTTCAATCCCCAGCATTGAAAAAAAAATTACACTTCTGCTGAATATAGGGTGGCCATATTATCCAAGCTGGAACACTTTTGAGAGTGACAGTGTGATATTTAATAATTATACCAGAAAAATAGGTATAAACGTTGGCTATTTTGGATAAAACAAGAATTGAGGTCCTTCAAATTAAGTAGAAAAGGAAGACTCAATGTAAAAAGTACTGTTTCTCCCCTGCATTAGTACAGATACCAGGTATTTGGTGAATACAAAAAG